TCCGCTCCTGCAGCAGGTTCTTGGTCTTTCTCCTCTAGTAGAGGGTCCACCGCCTGTCCAGTCGCAGTCCCTGCTGGAGCCTTCCTCTCCACTGCCTGCTCCCTCTACACTGGTCCTACTGGAGGTCTTGCTGAGCGTCGTGAGCCTGCGTCTCGTCCCGCGTCGCCTGTTCGCACTACTCGCGCTAGTGGTCGCAGTTCGCGTCAGCGTCCTCCTCCTGTCCCTAGCACGCACCGGATGTCTTTGCGTCCGTCCACTGCTCCTCTGCGTGCCCCTTTGCCTTCTCCTCCTGAGTCTTCTCTTCCTGCGCTTGCCGACCCTGGGTCGGACTCTCTTCGTGCTGCCAGTCCTACTGTCACGCGTCTGCTTGCTACTGTCGTCACTGACCCCTCTTTTGAGTCCACTGCTGCGTCTGCTCTAGTCGCTGAGCTCGTCGACTTTGCTGCTCGCTGTCGTCTCGACTACGCTGCTGGTCTTGTTGCTGAGTCTGCGTCTGTCTGTCCTCCGTCCGTCGGGGGTGAGTGTGCCCTTGGCACGGACGTCCTAGAGGACAGGCAGGAGGAGTTACAGTGTCTAGCGACTGCTTCACCTCATCTCGCGTCTGTACTGCTTGCCCCTGAGGGAGACCCGGATGCACTAGACATCCCGACTCCGCGTTCTTACGCGGAGGCCGTAGAGGGTCCCTACTCCTCTCAGTGGCAGGCAGCTATGGATGCAGAGATGGCTTCCTGGAAGTCCACAGGCACCTGCGTTGACGCGGTTCCCCCTCCTGGGGCGAACATCGTCAGTGGCATGTGGATCTTCAGGGTGAAGCGGCCGCCGGGCTCTCCACCTGTCTTCAAGGCACGGTACGTTGCTCGTGGCTTCAGACAGCGGCAGGGAGTTGACTACTTTCAGACCTTCTCTCCCACCCCGAAGATGACTACTCTTCGGGTGCTGCTGCACATAGCCGCTCAGCGCGACTACGAGCTTCACTCTCTCGACTTCAGCACTGCGTTCTTGGAGGGTAGCCTGCACGAGGAGATCTGGCTTCGCCGTCCACCTGGCTTCACTGGGACTTTCCCTCCTGGCACCCAGTGGAGCCTCCGACGGCCAGTCTACGGTCTCCGCCAGGCACCGCGTGAGTGGCACGACACACTGAGGACTACGCTTGCGGCTCTTGGGTTTGCTCCTTCTACTGCTGACCCGTCGCTGTTTCTTCGCACCGACACTTCCCTGCCGCCGTTCTACATCCTCGTGTACGTCGACGACTTGGTCTTTGCCACAGCGGACACTGCTGGACTCGCCTACGTGAAGTCCGAGCTGCTGAAGAGACACACGTGCACAGACCTGGGTGAACTGCGCAGCTACCTTGGCTTGCAGATCACTCGGGACAGAGCACGCCGCACCATTACCTTGACTCAGTCACACATGGTGCAGCAGGTCCTTCAGCGCTTCGGCTTCACGTACTCCTCGCCTCAGGCCACTCCTCTGCCTACTCGCCACTCACTCTCAGCTCTGCCTTCGGATGAGTCCGTAGAGTCGAGTGGTCCGTATGCAGAGCTTGTTGGCTGCCTCATGTACCTGATGACCTGCACACGACCTGACCTTGCATACCCTCTGAGCATTCTTGCTCGCTATGTTGCTCCTGGGAGACACAGACCAGAGCACATGGCTGCAGCGAAGAGGGTATTGCGCTACCTGTGCAGCACGTCAGGCATGGGGCTAGTGCTTGGAGGGCGGAGTCCAGTGGTCCTTACCGGCCACGCGGACGCTTCTTGGGCTGACGACCAGGCTACGCAGTGGTCGTCACAGGGTTACACCTTCAGCCTTGGTTCCGGCTCTGTCTCGTGGCGGTCTACTCGCTCGTCTTCGGTTCTCGGCTCCAGTTGTGAGGCTGAGATCTACGCCGGGGCCATGGCTGCACAGGAGCTTCGCTGGCTCACCTACCTGCTGACTGACCTTGGAGAGCCGCCTCGTTCTCCTCCCGTGCTGTACGTAGACAACAAGGCCATGCTGGCCTTGTGTCGAGAGCAGCGCTTGGAGCACAGAACGAAGCACATTGCTCTCCGCTACTTCCTTGCTCGTGAGCTGCAGCAGCGTGGTCAGTTGCGACTTGCGTACGTGGCCTCTGAGGCCAACACTGCTGATGTGTTCACCAAGGCACTCGCGCCTTGTGACCATCAGCGCTTTTTCACCCAGCTGGGTCTTGTGCCTGTCTTGCCTCACTTGCTCTCCTCTTGACTTCACTTGTACTGTGACATATATATATACCTGCTCTTGCTTGTCTAGTTCTATATATATATGTCTGTAATCCTGCATGTGAACTGGCCTCTGGCCCTGCTCTTGTGCTCGGACTGTGTGGTGACGTTGTGATCCACCCTGAGCTTGCTCTGCTTTGCTTTACCTGACTGGTCTTGTGACCCCTTGTTCTCCCCCACTTTGCCTATGGGGGTGTGTCAGATTTATATGACATAGTTTCTGTAGGCTATAGTGGGGTAGCACATATGGGGTACAGGGTTTCTAGGGTTGTATTTGTACCCAATCTTCCATAGTCATTTCATTCCTGTTTTCCTTGTTTCACACGTCACGCTAGCATTCCACTAGTCAGTGGGTTCTACTATTTTGGAGATGTCATTGTTAAGGATTGGCAGATGGTAGAGGATGTTTAGTAGCTTTATGTAGCTGTAGGTTTAGTATGTGATATTTTGTTGATTAATTTCTAACCAACTAGTATTGTAAGCGTTTAATATTATTTAATTATTATTACGGAATTGTTTTGATTTGTTGATAATAAACCCATTCGAAATTCTATTGATCATAATATTAGCAGTGTAGTTATCTCAATTAAATGTCGCCTTGTCACATCTCCAAAAGGAACAAATATCCACTAAACTATTCTTTATCGCTTTTATACATACGCATATTGTTATCACGCGGTAACCATCTTTAACAATTTTGTTACGCGAGTGGTTACAACTGAGCTTGTCAATTCTTGCCTGTGCGAGGGCCTCCTTTTCATTTCCGAAAGGAACAAACTAGATTACTCGCCCCAACTGACATGCAATGCGCAACTTACACATTTCAATCGCCTCGCAGGTTGGTTTCGGCAGTGCGCAGGTTGACTGCAGGGTGGTTCTGTTGCCCCACAATTACCCCCCAGTATTGAAAGCCGATTGGCAGGACTCCCGAAAACGGGAGTCACCAGGAAGGCTTCCAGCTTATTGCTGGAAGCCACATTTCTTCGTGCGATGTAGAAGCAGTGTATCTCAAAATGTACATGGACAAAGTCATAGCCATTGTGTCAGGGTCTGTAGCTGGTGCCACCCTCCTGTTGTTTTTGCTGGCCGTTTTTTCCGACACTCTAAAAAAAATATGGGCTGGCTTGGTGGGTTTCTTTGACCTTTCAAGCAAGGGTGGTCACGTGGTCCCAGGACCGATGCCTCCAGCTTCTGCAGGCAAACCCTCCAAGTTCACACCACCATCCAACAATTATCGTTTGCCACGTGTCGCACCGCCACCGGTCAAGCAGCCTCCAAAAATAATCACATCACCCACTGCGGCACAGGTACCTAAAAGGTTGACCGGGGCATTTAATGGAACGGCAGCACCAGCGGTAGTAGCAGTCGTAGCAGCTGCACCAGCACCACGAGCACGACCAGCAGTGGCAGCAGCACCAGCACCACGACCGCCACGACCAGCAGTAGCAGCAGCACCAGCACCACGACCACCACGACCAGCAGTGGCAGCAGCACCGCCAGCTGTGGCAGCAGCAGGAGCTGGAGTGGTCCTAGGGCAAGTGGTTGTTGACATACCTTCTGCGTCAGCAATGGCAGCAAAAGAAGCACCCGCAGCAGCAGCAGCGGCGGCGGCGGCATTAGAGGTGGGTCAAGCAGGGATAAAGGGACGATCAAGCGAATCATTGTGCCAAGCAGGGCGCTCAGCAACACCAGCAGCAGTGGGGGCAGCAGAAGAAGCAGCAGCCGCTGCAGCTGCCGCAGCTACTGCAGTGGCATTTCCAGCAGCTCCACCAGCGCCAGCAGTGCAGCCACTGCTTTGTGCTGCAGGGGGTGCTGGGCTAGACGTGTGCCAGCGATTCACTCTGCAAGAGATGGCTCGAGCGACAGGGGAGTGGGCAGAGAGCAACCGCATAGGCAGCGGCAGCTTTGGCGATGTGTACAGGGGGGTGAATCCGCGGAACCCCAAGGAGGTGTGGGCTGTGAAGCGAGCCCGCGTGCTCACCAACGACTTCCGACGCGAGGTGAGACGCCCTGCCATGTGTCGCATCGGCTTTATGAAATCTCAAAAGCGAGGCCGCGTGCAACTAACGAATTCCGGCGAAAGGTGAGACTCCCTGCCATGTGTTGCATTGGCTTGGTAATCTCAGCAATATCAAGCTCTGAGATAACCACGCATATCATACTTGGCATTGGTTTCGGTAGCGGGGTACGAGGGAGGTGTCGCTGCCAACCTTGTCTGTAGGGTGTTTTTCTTCGCCCCAACCAGTTTCCCCCCAACCAAATTCCTCCCAACCTGCTTCCCCCCAACCTGCTTTCTCTAAAGACGCTTCCTTCAAACCTGCTTCCTCCCAACCCCCTTTCTCCCAACCTGCTTCCTCCCAACCTACTTCTCCCATCCTGCTTTCCAAACTGTTTCCTCCCATCACGCTTCCTCTCAACCTTCTTTCCCCCAACCTGATTACACCGAACCTGCTTCCTCTCAACCTTCTTTCCCCCAACCTGATTACACCGAACCTGCTTCCTCTCACCCTTCTTTTCCCCAACCTGATTACCCCAAACCTGCTTCCTCTCAACCTTATATCTCCCAACCTGCTTCCCTCCCCCCCTCTCCCCCCATCCCCTTTGCCCCCTCCCAACCCACGGCCATGCAGATCAACGAGATGGCGACGAAAAGCTATCCGAAGCTGGTGCGGCTGCTTTTCAGAAACCGCCCTGCTTCCACCCACCCCGCTTCCCTCGGCTCTGCTTCCTTCCCCCCCCACCCCCCTGCAGATCAACGAGATGGCGACCAAGAGCCATCCGAACCTGGTGAGGCTGCTGGGGTACTGCTTTGACATGAGCTACGAGGCGGAGCGCATGGAGCAGATCGTGGTCTATGAGTTCATGGCCAACGGCGACCTCGACCGCTGGATCGGACCTGGTAAGCCAAGGCGGTTTTTTGTGTTGCTTGCACAAGGTGTGTGGATAGAACCATGTAAGGCTGTACAGGATATCAAGAGTATTTTACGATTTGTATCGTATAAAAAAAAAAAAAAAAAACACACGCACAGAAAAAAAATGAAAGAGAATCTTTAGCATCCCGTCATGTATGCATTGTTCTTGTCAACAGACTGGTGAATTCTGTAGCCATCGTTCTATCCATTACATTTGCACAACCTAACACGTTGCTACAGCTTTACAACCGTCCTGTTCGAGCTGTTTACGCACCTGCAATGCATTGCGTCTATGCCATCTATTCTATCAACCTGGAGACTCTTGTTCCATTCATAAGCACACCCAGCTGCCCAACTTCCAACTGCCATGCCTCCTCCTCCCAGATGCACCCCACCCGCTCACAATGCAGCAACGACTGGGCATCCTGACGGGCATGGCGCGGGGGCTGGAGTATCTGCACGGCTTCAGCATCGTGCATCGCGACATCAAGCCCGCCAACGTGCTGCTGGACGCGCGCATGCACGCCAAGCTCGCTGACTTTGGGCTGGTGCGACTTGGGGAAGGTACATCTGTGGCCGCCACGCGCGTCATGGGCACGCCGGGCTATGTGGACCCCGCTTACTACCGCTCCCACAAGGCCACTCCCAAGGCCGACGTGCACAGGTGCGGGTGATATATTACTTGCGAGTGTTTTAGAATTCCAAAAAATACTCCCTCATGGTGCGGGATTATATGGTGTTCACGTGTTCTTTAGAATTCTAGGAAACACTCCGACACGGGCACACCAGGCCGCGTGGATCCTGCTTATTACCACTCGCACATGGTTACTCCCAAGGCTGACTGCCTTTTTCCCTTACCCTGCTGACTGCCTCATTCCCTGACCCTGCTGACTGCCTTGCTACCCTTCCCTGCTGACTGCCTTGATCCCTTACTCTGCTGACTGCCTTGATCCCTTACCCTGCTGACTGCTGTTTATCTTCTCTGCTGCCTCACTGCATTACTTCCCATCTGCCTGCAGCTTTGGAGTGGTGATGCTGGCGGTGATCACGGCTCGCAAGGCCATCTACAACATCGAGTCAAACCAAGTCAACCTCAAGCAATGGGTGGGTATTTCTCCGACACCTTGCCCAATTCTTTCAATGTTCATCCTTCTGTCCATATCATGGTATCCTTGCACATTCGTTCTTCATTGCAAATAGTCTTAACTCTCCATTCCGTTTCTTCCCCTCATCCCTCCCCTGCTCCCTTGCTTCCCCCGATTGATGCACTAACAGGCAGCATCGCTGGTGGCAGCAGGGGACGTGGCGGCACTAAAGGACCCGCACCTGCAAGCACCGGACGACCTGGTGCTGCGCATGGCACGCCTGGCGCTCACCTGCACCGCCATGCCCACGGCGTCTCGCCCGGGCATGAGCCGTGTGCTGGCAGAGCTGCTGCTGCTCAAGGAGGAGTTCTTCGGGGAGGACGAGGACCGCATGGCTGTTAGGATTGACCACGAGATCGAGAGCTCCGAGCAGGTCGACTTCAGCTTGGAGCTGGCTCGTCTTCAGGGGGTTCAGCATGGTAGTTAGTGACGCAAGGGGAAAGCAGAAAGTTGTTTATGGAATAAGGGAGGAGTGAGAGGTCTGCAGAGAGTCGAGTGGAACGGCCTGATGTTATTTTCCACCAACCAAAGCCCCTCAATAGGTGGCCCCAGCCAGGTCTTGGCATTTATAGCATTTTTTAGAACGTAGTGTCAATAAACGTCACAACATTTTGCACAGTGGAATGTTTTCTCTTCTGTACTTATCAGAAATGAAATCGCTTATTATGGAACGTTTCTCTGAAGATGCACTCACTTTTCTATGAAACGTTTTTCTGCTTGGAGTGTACCGCTCCCATTTGATTGGAATAACAATGGATGACAGTGTAAGGAATGGGAGAGCTCGCAGCGGCAACCTAGCAATTACCTAGCGCAATGGCTAATTACTCCTAGCATCTGATCGGATCACACTTAGCCTCAGCTCATCCACCTCCATAGAGGGCTGGGCATTTATTCACTGCTGTGCACACCACCATGCCACGGTGGCAGCATTATTTGCAAGCACCCTCCTGCGCCGCACCACCTCGTTACAGGACGTCCCGTTTCTAGTAGCAAGTGTTGCACCTATACGCCCATCTCGCGACGACTCTCCTCTAGAAGTTGGTGTCACTCTCGTAGGTCGTCCCGGCGCTCCATCCGCTCGGAATCACGTCTTGCAGCACCACCTGCTGCCCGCCGCCCGTCACGCGCACGCTCACCGGGAGCCCCGCATCGACAACGTCCTTGGCGGGATTCAGCACCCACGTGGCGCCCCATCCGTACGTCGTCATGCTCGTCCACTGCGACCCGTCGTTCGACAGCTCCACGTTCTCCACGCCTCCGCTCCCCGCCGCGCCGATAATCTGAAGCGCGAAGTTGTACGAGTTGCTATCGTCGACCAATCTGACCTTCAGGCCGCCGTTGCTAGGGCAGTCCACGCTGCGGTAGTCGATCTCCACGCGCCCCGCGGCCCGGTCGGCGACGATTCTGTCCCACGCGGCGAAGTTGAGGTTGAAGTCGCCATTTTGGCCGACCGCGCGCACCAGCACGCTGCCCTCCAAGCAGCTCGGGTGGTTCATGCAGGAGACTTCGTAGCACCTTCCGCAGCCCTTTCCGCTGTTGAAATCGCCCGAAGGCACCTGCGCTACCATGCCGTAGTCGAAATCCGAACTCTCGCCGTAGTCGAATTGGCCGCGGTAGCACGTTCCCTCGCGGTTCAGATCAACGGACGTGGCGTACATGGCATCGGCGGGAGTGAGGACGAGAGCCAGCAGAACGAATCCCACGCAGAGTAAGCTGCGGACGTTGAAAACGGGAGCCATGGAGAAAGGGAGAAGAGGGAAAGAATCGGAGCTTGCTGATGCGAATACGGGGCTTGAATATCAGAGACACTGTAGGCTTGGAGGACAATGATCGATTTAGATGATGATCGTGAAGCAGGAGATTGATATAGTTGCGTCAGTCGGGAAGTATCGGGACTTTGAGAAGTTCTAGGCATGGAGCTGCTCGGCTCGAGTCGCCCTCGTGAATTCCCTCTCATCGAAAGCGCACTGGAAATTTGCCCTCAGAACCACCAATAATTCTGTTCTCTTCGCGAACTGACTGGTTGGCGATGGCTACGAAAACGGCGTGAGTCTAAGGTTCGGAAGGCGATTGGCTCGATGATAATTGTTTTTGAGTGGCGTCATTTTGTTCTGTCTTCCCGGGGAGTCAGATTCGGGTACATTTCCCGCTGGGAATAATTCTCCAAGCAGGGCGAGAGGCTTCACGATTATTGTAGCTACGCAACGCCAGAATTTTTAGTTCGTCGTTGGGTGCAAGGCTGGTAACTTAGCTCATTTGACGAACCCAAACAAAGTGTTTCGCATCTGGTAACACAAATGGTTTGTGCTCCTTTCTGTTCTAGCATTTCGCAGTCCCCACACTCAGCAGAGAAATGCAACATAATACGAGGCGCGTTTCCCGGCTCTGTCTTCGTATTGAAGCTCATTCTTGAGTTTGGTGGCAACCTTGCTGCCTGGATAGTTTCTTTCTCCGTTTTATGCGCCATAAACTCAGCGCCTAATTTTTTACGACGTAAAAATTATATTTGAGCGGATATTTTCTTCGAGTCCGCCGTTCACTATCGTATTCACCCACCGTTCACCTCGCTACTCCCACCGAATCGCTTATTAGTATCACATCCTCTGCCACCCATTACTAGTAAAGCAATTCGCGGCTGCTACTATCAGCAGGGGCGCGTCGTTCATAATGACAACGTGGGTGCTGATAATAGGAGCGAGTCAGGGAGGCCATGCAAATCTGGGGTAAGGCGGAAGGCTCCAACCTACCCCGTTCGATACGCGGATCGCGTCGACGTGGGAGCGTTACGGCCTTTAAGGCCTCTTCGCGCTCTCGTCAATGAAAGCGTACTGATTTGAAGCTTGTTGTTAGTTTTTTTTTTACCTTTTGATTGTTTCTGTTATTTCATGAACATGGCTTTCCCTGGATTGACGTTCTCCCCCTCTTTCCAGTTCACGTTTCCTGACAAGTATTTACTTTCTCCCTCTCAGCGCTCAATCCACTAGCATTCGATCCAGACAACTGTCCTGTTCATTATGTTAGATATTTGATCACCAACTAGGCCCAAAAGTGGACGAGGTCAGGTCACTCCTGGAGATCAGGTAGCCAAGCCTAATTAGTTACCCTGGGGGCTGGCTAAAAGAACAACCCAAGCATGATCTACAAGGCTAGATTGGAAGGCTGTCAGTGAGTTGTTGGAAGAGTGGGGACTGAAATAATCGAGCATGCAAAAGATGAACCAAGCGAAAAAGGCAAGTTCTCTACCCGGTGCACATGTGATACTTTCAAAACGCCACCCGTGGGGCTCGAACCCACGACCACAAGGTTAAGAGCCTTGCGCTCTACCAAGTGGTGATACGGGAACGTGTGGGCCGAGTTCGGATTCGATGCGGGGGTAACTTCACGTTTAGCCAGGAAATGCTCGCAACGACCTTCGACGGAACCGACATTTTACTCGGGCATGATTGGATGCGACGACACAATCCGCGAATCGACTGGACGACGGGTGACTGTACTGTGCGAGTGAACGGTAACAACATCGCCTTACCTTGCTGGGGCTCGCCTGAGTCTTTGTCAGTGCGTGTCAACGCGATCACAATGAAACGCGCTGTAGCGGCAGGAGCTGACGTGTATGCAGTTGACATTCAGGAAGCCGAGGCAGCAGACAAAGGAGGGGATTTACAGAAACTGCTATCCAACGTACCGGGTGATCTGGCAGCATTGTTGAAGCAGTACAGTGGCATTTTCCCGGACGACCTAACGACAGGACTGCCACCTCAGCGATTGCACGACCACAGGATAGAATTTAGAACCGGGGGCACAGCCAACAGTACAGTGACAGTTCCGACTAACCCAACCCAAACTGGATGAACTGAGGAAGCAGCTGGATTACCTGCTCGAGAAGGGGTTCATTCGCCGTAGTTCGTTGCCCTTCGCAGCACCGATGTTGTTCACGCCGAAAAAGGACTTGGGGGTTCGCATGTGCAAGCACTGAACAGGGTTACCATAAAATCCCGTTACCCCATCCCGCGAGCTGACGAATTGATCGACCAACTGCGCACAACCCGGTTTTCCTCGAAAATCAACCTTCGAGGAGGTTACCACCAGATTCGCGTCGACCCACCCGACTGCCCTAAGACAGCCTTCCGAATACGCTACGGATCCTTCGAATACACCGTCATGCCCTTGGGACTGACCAACGCCCCCGCCACCTTTCAAATGACCATGAACGAAGCCTTTTGCCTGCTTTTAGATAAGTGCGGCATCGTGTATCTGGAAGACATACTGATTTACAGCCCCGAGAGATCACAACACAAACAGGACATCGAAGCAGTTTTTAAGATTCTGAGTGAGAACCACCTACTGACAAAAGCGTCAAAGTGTGAGGTTCTACAGGACCGACTGGAGTTTTTGGGACACATTATTTCAGCTGCAGGAGTGGAAATAGACCCGAAAAAAATCGCGACGATTCAAGCATGGCACGCATGAGAAGAATTGAACGAGAATGAAATGACTATGAACGAAGTGAGTACAAATAGGAAACCCTGATTGTGTTGTACCCCTTATGAGATACCCCAGTATAGCCTACAGAAACAAGTAAGCTATATGTTCTGACACACCCCCATAGGCAAAGTGGGGGAGAACAAGGGGTCACAAGACCAGTCAAGCAAAGCAAAGCAAAGCTCAGGGTGGATCACAAAGTCACCACGCATTCCGAGCACAAGTTCAAAGGCCAGAAGGCCAGTTCACATGCAAGATCATATATAGAGATATACAAGAGGCAAACAAGCAAGAACAAGAGTATATATAGGCGAAGGTACAAGCAAGATCAAGAGGAGAGCAAGTGAGGCAAGACAGGCACAAGACCCAACTGCGTGCAACAACGCTGATGATCACAAGGCGCAAGTGCCTTGGTGAAGACATCAGCAGTGTTGGCCTCAGAGGCCACGTACGCAAGTCGCAACTGTCCACGCTGCTGTAGCTCACGAGCAAGAAAGTAGCGGAGAGCAATGTGCTTCGTTCTGTGCTCCAGTCGCTGCTCTCGACACAAGGCCAGCATGGCCTTGTTGTCTACATACAGGACTGGAGGAGAACGAGGCTGCTCTCCAAGGTCGGTCAGCAGGTAGGTGAGCCAACGTAACTCCTGCGCAGCCATAGCCCCAGCGTAGATCTCAGCCTCACAACTGGAGCCGAGAACAGAAGACGAGCGGGTAGCCCGCCACGAAACAGAGCCGGAACCAAGGCTGAAGGTGTAACCCTATGACGACCGCTGCGTAGCCTGGTCGTCAGCCCAAGAAGCGTCTGCGTGCCCAGTGAGGACCACTGGACTGCGCCCTCCAAGCACTAGCCCCATGCCCCACGTGCTGCACAAGTAGCGCAACACCCTCTTCGCTGCAGCCATGTGCTCTGGTCGGTGTCTCCCAGGAGCAACATAGCGTGCGAGAATGCTAAGAGGGTATGCAAGGTCAGGACGTGTGCAGGTCATCAGGTACATGAGGCAGCCAACAAGCTCTGCAAACGGGCCACTCGACTCTACGGACTCATCCGAAGGCAGAGCTAAGAGTGAGTGGCGAGTAGGCAGAGGAGTGGCCTGAGGCGAGGAGTACGTGAAGCCGAAGCGCTGAAGGACCTGCTGCACCATGTGTGACTGAGTCAGGGTAATGGTGCGGCGCGCTCTGTCCCGGGTGATCTGCAAGCCAAGGTAGCTACGCAGTTCACCCAGGTCAGTGCACGTGTGTCTCTTCTGCAGCTCGGACTTCACGTAGGCGAGTCCAGCAGTGTCAGCTGTGGCAAAGACCAAGTCGTCGACGTACACGAGGATGTAGAACGGCGGCAAAGAGGTGTCGGTGCGCAGAAACAGCGACGGGTCGGCAGTAGACGGAGCAAACCCAAGTGCCGCGAGCGTAGTCCTCAGTGTGTCGTGCCACTCACGAGGCGCCTGGCGGAGACCGTAGACTGGACGCCGGAGACTCCACTGGGTACCAGGAGGGAAAGACCCAGTGAAGCCAGGTGGGCGACGTAGCCAGATCTCCTCGTGCAGACTGCCCTGCAACAAAGCTGTGCTGAAGTCGAGAGAGTGCAGCTCGTAGTCACGGTGAGCAGCAACGTGCAGCAGAACCCGAAGAGTGGTCATCTTCGGGGTGGGGGAGAAGGTCTGAAAGTAGTCAACCCCCTGCCGCTGACTGAAGCCACGAGCCACGTAACGCGCCTTGAAGACAGGCGGTGAACCCGGCGGCCGCTTCACCCTGAAAATCCACATGCCACTGACGATGTTCGCCCCAGGAGGGGGAACAGCGTCGACGTAGGTGCCTGTGGACTTCCAGGAAGCCATCTCTGCATCCATAGCTGCCTGCCACTGAGAGGAGTAGGGACCCTCTATCGCCTCCGCGTAAGAGCGCGGAGTCGGGATGTCTGGTGCATCCGGGTCTCCCTCAGGGGCTAGCAGTACAGACGCGAGATGAGGTGAAGCGGCTGCCAGACACTGGAACTCCTCCTGCCTGTCCTCAAGGACGTCCGTGCCGAGGGCACACTCACCCCCGACGGACGGAGGACAGGCAGACTCAGACTCAGCGACAAGACTGGCAGCGTAGTCTAGACGACAGCGTGCAGCAAAGTCGACAAGCTCAGTGACAAGGGCAGAAGCAGCAGACGACTCGAAGGAAGGGTCAGTGACAGCTGTAGCAAGAAGACGCGTGACAGTAGGACTGGCAGCACGAAGAGAGTCCGACTCCGGGTCGGCAAGAATAGGAAGAGAGGAAGCAGGAGGAGAAGGCAAAGGGGCACGTAGAGGAGCAGTGGACGGACGCAGTGACATCCGGTGCGTGCCAGGGACAGGAGGAGGACGCTGACGCGACCCGCGACCACTAGCGCGCTCAGTACGAACAGGCGACGCAGGACGAGACGCAGGCTCACGACGCTCAGTAAGACCTCCAGTCGGACCAGCGTAGGGAGAAGGAGCAGGCAAAGGGGAGGCAGGCTGTAGCTGTGGCTGTGACCGGAAAGGCTGCGGACCCTCTAAGGGAGGAGGAGGTGTAAGACCAAGAACCTGCTTCAGGAGCGGAACGAAGTACGGTCGGGGCCGCGCGGCGACGCTTGAAACAGCAGGAACAGCACCAGTACCGCCAGCAGGAGCACCCACTACAGTAGCACCTCCAGCAGCACCAGAACCTCCAGCAGCAGCACCAGGAGCACTGTCAGTCGGACCGCCAGCGGCAGGCACAGCGCCAACACCCTCAGCAGCACCAGCTCCAGGAGAACCCTCAGACCCAGCAGCTCCAGCACCCACAGTACGAGCACCTCCGGGACGCGCGGCAGCAGTACCCTCTGCAGCCGAAGAACCACCAGCACCAGCAGCACGCCTCCAGCGCCTGGCAAACCACTCACGCAGCTCTTGTGGGGAGAGTGGCTCACGGCGAGACGAAGCACCCCCAGGCACAGCACCCCCAGGCTCAGCACCCCCAGGCTCAGCACCCCCTGGCTCAGCACCCCCAGGCGCAGCACCCCCAGGCTCAGCACCCCCAGGCTCGGAACCTCCAGGCTCAGCACCCCCAGGCTCCGCACCCCCAGGCTCCGCACCCCCCGGCACAGCACCCCCAGGCACAGCACCCCCAGGCTCAGCACCCCCAGACTCAGCACCCCCAGGCTCCGCACCCCCAGGCTCAGCTCCCGCAGCAGCACCAGAGTCACCAGTGACCTCGACAGGCTCGACCGCGTCTACCTGGGACACACCTGAAGGGGCAGGACCCTGAGGGGGGAGGGGGTCTACCGGGGGGGGACCTGGTACCAAGAAGAGCGGGGGTGGGGGGAGGGACGGAGTGCGGTAGGGGAAGAGGCGGTAGTAGGGTACCGACTCGTCGAACGTGACGTCCTGGGAGGACAGAACACGTCGAGAGGTGGGGTGGTAGAACTGCCACCCAGGGGCGTCGGGGGCCCCAGGAAGACGCAGGGAGCAGCGCGAGGGGACAGCTTGTCCGCAGACAAGTCGCAGACAAACGCCCGAGATCCCCAGACCCGGAACGCCGACGCATCGCCAACCTTCCCCGTCCACAGCAGGGCTGGGGAGGTCTCCGGCCTGGAGACCCTGGGGTGGAGGTTGATCTGATGCGCGGCGTACCTGACCGCGAACGGCCACAGAAAATGGGGGGCAGCCGCATGCATCATGGACGTACGGGCGACGTCCATGACCATGCCAATGCGGCGCTCAGCAATCCCATTTTGCTGCGGGGAGTCCGGAAGCGTGAAAGACTGGCGGATGCCTCGCGCACGACAGTAGGCACGCAGAAGGCCAGAGGAGAACTCTCCGCCTCTGTCCGAGTGCAGACGCAACACAGGAAAGTCGGAGCCAAAGCTCCGCCTGAGCTGAAGACGAGCTGCGCGGATCCAGTCGATCAGCACCTCAGTGACCTCACCCTTGCTGCGCAAGGGGAAGACCGTGGCGTAACGCGAGTAGTCGTCAACAACGAGCAGGAAGTAGCGCTCCTGACCCTGTCCACGGACGCGGGCTGGGCCCCACACGTCCATGTGAAGCGTCTGCAACGGGGCCTCTGTCGGAGGAAACTGGGAGGAGTGAGGGGCAGCACGCTGGCGCCCCTCGACACAGGGGACACAGGCAGGGCCAGGGCCCTGAGGAAGGGGAGGTAGAGACCGAGGGAGACCAGACACAAGAAGACGGGAGGCCATGCCTCTGAGGCGAAGCAGAGAGGGGTGGCCAAGGCGGTGGTGCCTGAGGAGGGTCTCGTGAGACAGACGACGAACAGACCTGGACGCTGCGGCAAACACCTGACCAGACGAAGGGACCCTACCAGACTCAGCACCTGGAGGAGAAGCAGTGGTCAGTGTGTACAGGCTCGACCCTGGCCGACGTGTAAACGTAGCCAGGTGGCGTCCCGTGCTAGCCTCCGTGCAGTGGGTCACTCGCTGACGAGCAGGAGTGAACTGGTGGACACCCGCATCCTGTAGGTCAGCACCACTCACCAGGTTCGTCAAGAACGAGGGGAGGTAGAGACCAGACAGGGTGCCAGAGGGGGCCGCCGGACACGGAAGGACCGTGGAGAAGCGAGACAGGACAGGCCCCCCAGAGGGGTCAGCCAGGGACACCGCAACCGGCCGACTCAGCGGCGTGAGAGTGGTGCGGTCCCGAAAGAAGGAGCGAGACGCTCCAGAGTCAAGGGTGAAGGTGTGAGAGGCCGAAGCCGACACAGTACCTGAGAGGGCAAACTCACCAGTACCTGAGAGCACAGACGCACTGGCACCTAATGCAGCAGCCTCACTAGCACCTGACGCAGCAGTACCAATGCCCGGGTCGGGCGGGAAACACCGGTAACAGTCATCCTCATCACTACCAGTCACAGCATACATAGCAGAAAGAATAGCATCAAAGTCAAGATCATAAATGGCTACACCAGCCCTAGACAGCTCCCCCCAGCGGGGGATCTCAGCGGCCTCCGGAAACTGCTGACGCCAAGCGTCGGTCAGGCGGCCAAAGCAGCGGCGGGCTGCGTGGGTGCCTCCACACCTCTCCCCCGCACGGTCACCGGTGCGAAGAACGTAGGGGCAGGGACCAAACGCACCACCACGCTGACGCTGCAAGTACCACTCACGGAGCTGCTAAGGGGCGGGGACGGTGCGAGAGCGCTGCTGCTGCTGCTGCTGCTGGCGCTGGCCACCCCCAGAGCTGCTCCGCTGGGACGAGCCACTCCGACCTCCGCCGCCACCGCCACTCCCGCCTCCAACGCCACCCCCGTCTCCACCGCCACCGCCCCCACCGGTGCCCTCGCCCCCGCCTCCTCCGCCACCGCCTCCGCCGCCACCTCCGCCTCCACCGCCTCCACCAGTACCTCCACTCCCGCCACCACCTCCACCGCCACCCCCATTCCCTCCGCCACCCCCACCTCCTCCGCCACTGCCCCCTCTAGCTCCACCCGCTCCCTTGCCCCCTTTGCCCTTGCCAGAGCGGCGTCTACCGCTGGGGGCAGACGCCGCACCGACCGACTCAAAACCAGCGAGGTCGGCCGCAGCGGCAGAGGCGACAGAGGGCAGCAGGGGGGAAGGAGAACACCCCTCAAAGATGGGGGTGCGAGGGTCACCCCGAGAGGCCCCTACAGCGACGATGCTCTTCTCAGCCGCTAGCAGGGACTCCTCAAGGAGGTCGACAGTGAGGGTGGTGGGACAGACAGAGAGAAACTGGTCCCTAACGACACGAAGGGACTCAGGGAGACGGGTGACGAGAAAGTAAAGAGTGATGTACATGGGAGGAGGGTTTGCGGCGCGGAACTCAGCAGGAAGGGCAGCGCGGTAGCGAGCGTCACTAGCGCGGAGGTGGGTAACGAGGTCAGCGACAGTGGGAAAGGCAGCGAGGTCAAGGAAGAGAAACGGTAGCATGAGGCGGCTCAGCGTAGCGGAGGAAGGGGAGGAGTAGCGTGTAACTACAGCGTCGTACAAGGCCTGAGCGGTCTTGCACTGACTAAAGTGGGCACGCTCGGAGGAAGGGAGGTGGCGACGCACAGCAAGACGTGCACCAGCATCGCGTGTGGCCCTTTTGGAGTGAACAGTAGGGTCAGCATCAGCAGGAGGGGCAGGGACAGCTCCAGAGACAAAGTCAAAGAGAGAAACCTCATCGATCGCATCGCACAGTAAGTACAGCTGCAGGTCCTCAATCCAGAGTGGAAAGTCAATGGCGCGACCCTCAGCGTCAAAAGACAGGACACTGGGGGTGGCCATTGCAGCAGCTGATTGTCTCACCGGGCACGAAGAGTCGGGTAGCACAGCGACTCAGCAACTCGGCAGAACAGCAGCTACGCACGCCTCGGAGCAGCAGCAGCCACGCAGGAGCAGGAGCTCGGCTCCTCAGGTTGCCCGGGCGGCTCGGGCGGCTCGGGTTGCTGGGGCGGCGCGGGCGGCTCGGGCGGCTCGGGCGGCTGGGGCGGCTCGGGCGGCTCGGGCGGCTCGGGCGGCTCGGGCGGCTCGGGCGGCTCGGGCGGCTCGGGTTGCTGGGGCGGCGCGGGCGGCTCGGGCGGCTCGGGCTGCTCGGCTGTACGGGCGGCTCGTGCGGCGCTGGTGTCGCGACGGGCGGCTCGCTGGCGGCACGCGGGCTGCTGCACAGGCGGCTCAGGGACGGCGGCGCGGGCGGCTCAGGGAGCTCACGGGCGGCTGCGACGGGCGGCTCGCGGGCGTCGGGCGCTAGGGCGTTGGGGCGACGACGGGCGGCGCTCAGGCGTTCGGGCGGGCGGCCGTAAGGGCGAAAGGGCGGTCGGCGCTCGGGCGCTGGGGCGGGCGGCCGGCCGTCAGGGCGCTAGGGCGGGCGGCCGTCAGGGCGCTAGGGCGGGCTGCGTTCGGGCGCTAGGGCGGGCGGCCGTCAGGGCGCTAGGGCGAGTGGCGCACGGGCGCTAGGGCGGGCGGCCGTCAGGGCGCTAGGGCAAGCGGCGCTCGAGCGCTAGGGCGGGCGGCCGTCAGGGCTCTAGGGCGGGCGGCGCTCGGGCGCTAGGGCGGGCGGCGCTCGGGCGCTAGGGCAGGCGGCGCTCGGGCGCTAGGGCGGGCGGCGCTCGGGCGCTAGGGCGGGCGGCCGTCAGGGCGCTAGGGCGGGCGGCCGTCAGGGCGCTAGGGCGGGCGGCGTTCGGGCGCTAGAGCGGGCGGCCGTCAGGGCACTAGGGCGGGCGGCCGTCAGAGGAGGGAGCGGCGGAAGCTCGACGGTAGGGGCGACACGCAGGGTCGCTAAAAAAAAAGAACGCGCGCTTCGGTGGGCCCTAGGAACAGTCCCTAGGAGGGGACCTGCTCTGATTCCATGAGAAGAATTGAACGAGAATGAAATGACTATGAACGAAGTGAGTACAAATAGGAAACCCTGATTGTGTTGTACCCCTTATGAGATACCCCAGTATAGCCTACAGAAACAAGTAAGCTATATGTTCTGACAACGCACTGACCAACTTGACCGAGTTGCAGAGTTTTCTGGGGTTCGTCAACTATGTGCGCCGGTTCGTCCCCGACATGGCGAAGCTGACTGCCCTGTTGACCGACCTGCTGAGGAAGGGGGTTGAGTACACGTGGGGGGAGAAAGAGCATGCTGCCTTCTCGGCCCTCAAAAATATTTTGTGCTCGCCGCCCGTACTTCACATCGCAAATCCGCACCGTCAGTTCGAGCTCGTCACCGACGCTAGCGACATCGCTATGGGAGCAGCACTGTTGCAGGACTTCGGGAACGGCCTCCAGGCGCAAATTTCAACCACTTGAATGCAACTACCCGATACACGACCGCGAGATGTTGGCGATCGTGCACGCGTTCAACCCACGACAGATCCGCTGGTTGGACTATCTGGAGTCCAACTTCCACTACACGGTCACATACAAAAAAGGCGCATCCAACATCGCCGACGCACTCACACGCCCCACCGCCCAAATCCATGCCATCCTACTCGCCCAAACCAATCTACTGTTAGCAAGCCTATTCACCCACGCATACAGTACGGAACCGTTTTTCACGACCGGAAGTTCACAACAACTAGTGAGAAGAATAGAACGAGAATGAATGAACTATGAACGAAGTGAGTACAAATAGGAAACCCTAATTGGGTTGTACCCCCTATGGGATACCCCACTATAGCCTACACAAGTAAGTAGGCTATAATGTTCTGACACACCCCCATAGGCAAAGTGGGGGAGAACAAGGGGTCACAAGACCAGTCAAGCAAAGCAAGGCAAAGCTCAGGGTGGATCACAAAGTCACCACACATTCCAAGCATAAGTTCAAAGGCCAGAAGGCCAGTTCACATGCAAGATCACATATATAGGTATACAAAAGGCTAAGCAAGCAAGAGCAAGAGTATATATATGTGACAGTAAAAGCAAGGTCAAGAAGTAAGCAAGTGAGGCAAGATAGGTACAAGGCCCAACTGAGTGCAGAAGCGCTGATGATCACAAGGCGCAAGTGCCTTGGTGAAGACATCAGCAGTGTTGGCCTTAGAGGCCACGTACGCAAGCCGCAACTGTCCACGCTACTGCAGCTCACGCGCAAGAAAGTAGCGGAGAGCAATGTGCTTTGTCCTGTGCTCCATTCGCTGCTCTCGACACAAGGCCAGCGTGGCCTTGTTGTCTACGTACAAGACTCGAGGAGAACGAGGCGGCTCTCCAAGGTCGGTCAGCAGGTAGGTGAGCCAGCGAAGCTCCTGTGCAGCCATAGCCCCGGCGTAGATCTCAGCCTCACAACTGGAGCCAAGAACATAAGACGAGCGGGTAGCCCGCCACGAAACAGAGCCGGAACCAAGACTGAAAGTGTAACCCTGTGACGACCGCTGCGTAGCCTGGTCGTCAGCCCAAGAAGCGTCCGCGTGCCCAGTAAGGACCACTGGACTCCGCCCTCCAAGCACTAGCCCCATGCCCGACGTACTGCACAAGTAGCGCAACACCCTCTTTGCTGCAGCCATGTGCTCTGGTCGGTGTCTCCCAGAAGCAACATAGCGTGCAAGAATGCTAAGAGGGTATGCAAGGTCAGGTCGTGTGCAGGGCATCAGGTACATGAGGCAGCCGACAAGCTCTGGATACGGGCCACTCGACTCTACGGACTCATCCGAAGGCAGAGCTGAGAGCGAGTGGCGAGTAGGCAGAGGAGTGGCCTGAGGCGAGGAGTACGTGAAGCCGAAGCGCTGAAGGACCTGCTGCACCATGTGTGACTGAGTCAGGGAGATGGTGCGGCGTGCTCTGTCCCGGGTGATCTGCAAGCCAAGGTAGCTGCGCAACTCACCCAAGTCAGTGCACGTGTGTCTCTTCTGCAGCTCGGACTTCACGTAGGCGAGTCCAGCAGTGTCAGCTGTGGCAAAGACCAAGTCGTCGACGTACACGAGGATGTAGAACGGCGGCAGAGAAGTGTCGGTGCGCAGAAACAGCGACGGGTCGGCAGTAGAAGGAGCAAACCTAAGTGCCGCCAGCGTAGTCCTCAGTGTGTCGTGCCACTCACGCGGCGCCTGGCGGAGACCGTAGACTGGACGCCGGGGACTCCACTGGGTACCAGGAGGGAAAGACCCAGTGAAGCCAGATGGGCGGCGCAGCCAGATCTCCTTGTGCAGGCTGCCCTGCAAGAAAGCTGTGCTGAAGTCGAGAGAGTGCAGCTCGTAGTCACGGTGGGCAGCAACGTGCAACAGTACCCGAAGAGTGGTCATCTTCGGGGTGGGGGAGAAGGTCTGAAAGTAGTCAACTCCCTGCCCCTGACTGAAGCCACGAGCCACGTAACTCGCCTTGAAGACAAGCGGAGAACCCGGCGGCCGCTTCACCCTGAAGATCCACATGCCACTGACGATGTTCGCCCCAGGAGGGGGGACAGCGTCAACGTAGGTGCCTGTGGACTTCCAGGAAGCCATCTCAGCATCCATAGCTGCCTGCCACTGAGAGGAGTAGGGACCCTCTATCGCCTCCGCGTAAGAGCGCGGAGTCGGGATGTCAAGTGCATCCGGGTCTCCCTCAGGGGTGAGCAGTACGGACACGAGATGAGGTGAAGCGGCTGCCAGGCACTGGAACTCCTCCTGCCTGTCCTCAAGGACGTCCGTGCCAAGGGCACACTCACCCCCGACGGACGGAGGACAGGCAGACTCAGACTCAGCGACAAGACTAGCAGCGTAGTCTAGACGACAGCGAGCAGCAAAGTCGACGAGCTCAGTAACAAGGGCAGACGCAGTAGTAGACTCGAAGGAAGGGTCAGTGACGGCAGTAGCAAGGAGACGCGTGACAGTAGGACTAGCAGCACGAAGAGAGTCCGACTCCGGGTCGGCAAGAGCAGGAAGAGATGACGCAAGAGGAGAAGGCAAAGGGGCACGCAGAGGAGCAGTAGACGGACGCAGAGACATCCGGTGCGTGCCAGGGACAGGAGGAGGACGGTGACGCGAACCGCGACCACTAGCGCGCGCAGCACGAACAGGCGACGCAGGACGAGACGCAGGCTCACGACGCTCAGTAAGACATCCAGTATGACCAGTGAAGGGAGAAGGAGCAGGCAAAGGGGAGGCAGTCTGCAGCTGTGACTGTGACAGGACAGGCTGTGGACCCTTGAAGGGAGGAGGAGGAGGACCAGTAGAAGGTGTAAGACCAAGAACCTGCTGCAGGAGCGGAACAAAGTACGGTCGGGGCCGCGTGGCGACGGCAGAAACAGCAGGGACAGTACCAGTACCCCCAGCAGGAGTACCCGCGCCAATAGCACCTCCAGCAGCACCTCCAGCAGCTCCAAAACGCCCAGCAGCACCTCCAGCAGCCTTAGAACCTCCAGCAGCACCAGAAGCACCGCCAGCCGGACCGCCAGTGGTAGTCTCAGCGCCAACACCCTCAGCAACACCAGCTCCGGTCGAAACCGCAGGCCTAGCAGCTCCAGTACTCCCAGGACGAGCACCTCGGGGACCCGCGACAGCAGCACCCTCAGTAGCCGACGAACCCCCAGCACCAGCAGTACGGCTCCAGCGCCGGGCAAACCACTCGCGCAGCTCCTGTGGAGAGAGTGGCTCCCGGCGAGACGAAGCACCCAGAGAGCCTCTAGGCTCAACACCCCCTGACCGAGCACCCCCAAGCAAGGCACCTCCAGGCGTAGCACCCCCAGGCTCAGCACCCCCAGGCTCAGCACCCCCAGGCTCAGCACCCCCAGGCTCAGCACCCCTAGACGTAGAACCCCCAGGCTCAGTACCCCCAGGCTCAGCACCCCCAGGCTCCGCACCCCTAGGCTCAGCACCACCAGCAGCACCAGAGTC